ATGCAGAGAAACAAAGAAATATTGCTGATTGGAACGATGTATCAAGTGAGAAAAGTGTTTTTTTTTTTTTAAATACAAATATTCCCACAATAGAAGGCTCAAGAGTCTTTCAAGTTAGAGAGTTATTGCTAAATGGTCAAGATGAATGCGGGGTTATAGGGTGAAAGCAAACCGTCTATTCATCTCTCTCTCCCTCTCCCTCTCTTTCTGTTCTGATCTATCTATCTCAAGGGATAGATATATATCTATATATCTATCTCAGTCTGTTCTGATAAACGTATCTTACTGTTCTGATATATCTATCTCTGTCAGTTCATATCTGTCTATCTATCTATCTATCTATCTATCTATCTATCTATCTATCTATCTCATATTATATTCATATATGTATCTATATATATATATATATATATATATATATATATATATATATATATATTTATATATTATATATATATATATGTATGTATATGTTCTGATCTATCTCTGTTCTAATCAATCTCATTCTCTCAATATCTATCTATCTATCTATCTATCTATCTATCTATCTATATCAGTGTGTTCTGATATATCTATTGGTCTGTTCTGGTTTATCTATCTATCTTTGTTCTGATCTATCTCAGTTTCTATCTATCTAAGCCTGTTCGTACTTCCTCCATAACTGTTTTTAAACTAAAGTTCACTAAACGCACGACCCCTTCAATGTAGAGATTTAATGAGTGAAAACCTAACAGATAGATAGATAGATAGATAGATAGATACGAGCAGAAAGAGATAGGTCTTGAAAGAATGGGATAGATAGATAGATAGATAGATAGATAGATAGATAGATAGATAGATAGATAGATAGATATGAACAGACTGAGATAGATAGATAGATAGATAGATAGATAGATAGATAGATAGATAGATAGATAGAATTCAGATATATAGATACGAGCAGAAAGAGATAGGCCTGGAAAGAATGGGATAGATCGATAGATAGATAGATAGATAGATAGATATGAACAGACTGAGATAGATAGATAGATAGATAGATAGATAGATAGATAGATAGATAGATAGATAGATAGATAGAATTCAGATATATAGATACGAGCAGAAAGAGATAGGTCTGGAAAGAATGAGATAGATAGATAGATAGATAGATAGATAGATAGATAGATAGATAGATAGATAGATAGAAGGCATGATGGGAAGTGGAGATTATGATGAAGATAAGCAACCTAGACAACGTATAACTCATGAATCGAATAGCTTAAAACTGTAATACTAAATGAACTTCCTTCTATAAAGTAGATGTCCTCGAAAATAAATGAGGACTAAGTGTAATTCCCTCCTTACATTTGTAGCATGGAGGGAATTAGGTTGATTCGACTCCGTGGAAGTAGCATAAGGTCAAATAAAATAGCAATATATTAGCGACAAGGTTTGCGAGGTTGTGCTTGCGAGAAAGAAACTACAGTGAATAAATTTGAGACAAGTCCGCAAGAGAGTGATAGTCTAAATGAAACGGATCGAGAGAACAAACGTGATGTGATAGCCCTCTGTCTTTTCTACAAATATTTCCATGGCAACTGCTGTGACGAGCATCTTTCACTAGTGTCCCAACTGCATGAATGTAAGGTTGGCATCTCGTTCTCACCCTTTCACTGTAGAAACGGTTAATTGTAACCGTCTCTTCTACCCCAACAGCTTCTTATCTCGCACTTCTCGACAGTGGAACTCTTTTCCTCTTACTTGCTTCTCTGATAGCTATAATCCTCAAATATTCAAATATAATGTCAATCGACATCTTCTGATGCTTTTATCCTCGTCTTTCTCTTTCTCCTTTCCCCAAACAACACTCTTTACTCTCACTCTGTGCTAGTGGCACTCCTGCCTTGATTGGGGTGACATGCTTTAAATAAAATCTGCCAACATAATAATAGTTACATTATTTGTAAACAATAGAATAAACAATATAAGGAAAGTTACTTTTATTTTTATTTTGTTTCTTTTTATTTCTGTTCCAGTATTCAGTATTCTGATATGTTATTTTTGTTTCATTAATATTGTTAACGTGGATAATTCAATGATTACAGTACATATAATATCTCTTTTGTCAAATAAATATAACATCGCTAATGTAAATTTTTATTTTTTACGTGACCAATTTGCGTGATATTGAATCTCCCGCTTTGCTTGGGTTGAATGTTAGTATATTGTTGTGGATTCCATTCATGGAATCCTGCACAAATAAAGAAACAACGCCAGTAATTGAGATATAAAAATAAGTTTATTAAACGTAAGAATACAGACTTGAAGTGAAAATTAGTAGTCCAGGAATGCGGGTTAGTAGAAAGTATATGTACAAGTCTCTGTAAGTAAAGCCGTAACCATCTCTCTCTCTCTCTCTCTCTCTCAAGGTTTCGTCCGGGGAAGTAGATTGTTAACTGAAAATAACTTAGCAACACAGATACAACGACAATATTCTCCACACGTGACATATACTGATGGTATTTTCAGTTATGGATATGAAAATAGCGTTTTTCCACACTCCAGTTGCTAGTAACATTCTGTTTTTGTTTTTATTAGTTACCTTGTTAAATTATATTCATTTCATATTTTGCTTTGATAAAGTCCACATTGAACGAAACACGTCAGCAATTACTAGTTTTCCTATTGTCCTTTTTATTCATAAATATTGTCTTCTCTATTGGTTAAATCGGAGAAATTTTTCATATATATATATATATATATATATATATATATATATATATATATATATATGAAAATATTCTCAGAGTTAACCTGTAGAAAAAAACAATATTTATAAAGGCAAAAGACAACAATAGGAAAACTGTATTATTAGTCGACGCATTTCGTCCAGTGTGGACATTTCCAAGGTGAATTTATTAAAACAAAGTAACTATTGACAACAAAACAAAATGTCCTTAGCAACTGGAATAATTTAAAAAAAACGCTATTGTATTCATATTTTTAACTAAAAATTACGTCAGTACGGTCACGTGTGAAAATATTGTTTTTATTTTTGCGTTGACAGATTCAACCATTTTATTTTACGAGTGTATCAAGAAATCAAAAGAAAATTGTTTTAATAAATGAATTTCTTTTTTGCCTTGAAAAAGTCCACATTGGACGAAACGCGTCGGCTAATAATACAGTTTTCCTATTGTCTTTTACCTTTATACACACACACACACATATATATATATATATATATATAGACACACACACACACACATATATATATATATATATATATATATATATATATATATATATATATTGCAATGAAGCATTCAAACAAAAAGTAAATTAGTAAAGTTAATGATATAAAATTGCGAAATTCCTTCGCCAACAAAATTTGTAAACATGTATTAACCTACTAATCACTCGATGAATTCTATGATCCTTGTTTTTTTAAAATTATAAGCTGTATAAAGTCTTTCTTAAATACGCAAGTACTTTCGACTGTACATTCAGTCATCTTCAGGCATGGAAATTGTTTTGATTCTGTTCTAGCTGTATGAATTCTTACTGCGTAGAGTTCATGACGCCAGGAAGGCCGTCACTATATCCCCCCCCCCACGTGGTACAAATTAAAAGAATCTTTTTCATTGAATTCGTTCCGTGCAGACGTAGTAGAAATCTATATAACGTGATCAACGAGAACGAATTATAAACAAGTCGGGTTGTTTGAATTTAACTATCAAGAGTCTTCAGCACAGACAATTTGGAAACTAATAAAAATTAATTCAGCAACCTAAAAAAATGTCAGTAGCTACCGTGAAATACGAAGGAACCGCCACCAAATACTTTTCTCACTTTTGCGCAGACTCAAAGACACATAAGCATCGAAATTTCTATTCTATCAGGTTAGAAAACATTCATTTCATTCAAAACCTTTAACATTTTAAATTACAAAAACTTAATCTTCTTTTTGATTAATCCATTATAAAATTAAAGTACTTATAGACTTTTAATCCATTTCTTTGTTGAATTCAATTTATTTAAAATGTTGCTTTCTTTTTTTGGAAATTATTATAGAGATTACCCAAGCGTAGCACAAAGCCGAAAGCAAAAGGGCACCTAGTCAGGACCGAACTCACTGATCAGTCTTAACTCTCCTCGCCAGACAAACTTGCTAACCATTACACCTGCTGGAGGTGCCCTGGGAAATTATTTTACGTTAAAAGTTTCTACCGAATTCTCTTAGTGGAATCATTTTTTTAATCTAAGAAGGCCTCCACATTAAATATCAATCATTGGTTCCCAATATATATATATATATATATATATATATATATATATATATATATATATATATATATATATATATATATATATATATATTTATTTCAGTCGTTTAATCTATCTATTTATCTATCTATCTATCTCATTTGTCCAAGACTTTTTCGTCTTACCGAGTTTATCGCTAGCTGTCCAAGATATTTCTCATTTCGTTGGGTATTCTGCAGAGTAAGTGTTATTTTTGTCCTCCCCCCATCGCCATCTTGCGTATCTATTGTTGCCTTTATTGTCGTCTTATTCATCTGAATTCCATGTATTGTTTCGAATTGTGTTGGGGTTACGACGACATCATGTCGGATCCCGAAACTCTTCCTGCTTCCCCTACAGAAGTAACACCTTCGGCATGGGCAAAAGATAGGCCTCCAAAAAAAGAGCCAGAATATTTCAAATTTCTGAAAGAGAAGTTTGAGCGATATGTTAATGTTCGTCTGTGCCGTTTGTATTGGACACGATAAATACACGGACAATCTCTTTAGTAACAACGGACCCCAGGACTCTGAAGCTAAATATTGTGAATAGGCAAGTGATGGAGGAGGCCCTGATGAGGCTTCAAATTGCTGCTCAAATTATAGCAAGAATAAGTAGGTCAATGAGGAACATTTTTATTGCCTACAGAAGAGACAGCCAAATGCTTGGCAGGCTGTATTCTAACAACTTCTACAGTCAGGCTTCAGAGCGAATACATGGGAACTAGAAAAGCAAAGGTGATTCTACATAGGGTGTCACTCTTCATATCTGAAAGCCATCTTGGTTTTTTCTTTTCTAAATATGGGGACGTCTCCGACGTCTGCCCTATTAAAGGTAAGGCAGGAATAGTCACAGGCGATATTGAAATCTCAATCAGTTTAAACCGAAAGCAGTTTACAGAAATACTCAAGACGTTAATGTGTGAAGGTAGACTTACTTATGTCAGCCGCTTTGTTGGGTATGTGGGGCTGCGGGGCATTAGTCAAAGGCTTGCCCGGGACAAAATCCTGAACCCCCCCCCACAAAAAAAACGAAGCCCAGCGCAGACCACCAAGAAAATGGGAGAGTGGACGGAAGTCGTCAAGAAGGGACCCAAAAGTACCACTACTTCCCTTCAGCAGCAGAATGAGAGTCCACAGCTAGATCAAGAGGACCAGAAAATAACGGAAGTAGAAATGCAAGAGATGCACACGACTCGGTCGTCTTCACTGAAAAGATGGAGGGAGGAAAGAGAAGCAGAAAAGGGGGAAAAATAAATATAAAAGACAAGCGGGCTGAAGCCTCAAAAGACTTGACCAAACCAAGACTCAATCTGCACCGGCTTCGCAAGTTAAGAAGCATGAAGAAAACACCACAAGAAGACTTCCTTCTTCTCCTCTGAATGCACCATTGTCCAACATTCGCAATTCAACTCATCAAACACCCCCTTCTAATACCACAGCAGCCGACGACATTTCCACTCCTCTCCACATCCTTCTTTCCACCAGCACACCAGCCTAGTAAATCCCCAACGCCCAGCACTTCCTAGCAGCGTTCTTCTCTTAAGAAGAAATTCCCCAGTGGGGTAATGCTGTGTAGACAAGCGGGCAATAGAAGCGGATATGTCGAAGCAAAAGACAGCTTTGTTGAAGCTCTTGTTAAAGATGGTGTCAGTAGACGGACTTGCTACAGATGATCCCCGAAATTTTCACAAGGCTGCTGGTGTAATAACGTACATAAAGAGCACAGGCCGAAATGTAATAACGTTGGATCATCTACACGAGGGGAAGGATACCTTTCCGGAGATCCGTATAGCGGAAATAGGAACCCTGGAACTGAGAAAGCTACATAAATATTGTGCAGGGAGGTTCCCAGTAATCCTCCATCTTTCATTATATGAAACATTAAAACTAAGCTATCCCTCGGACGTTGGCAGTATTGTCCGAGATGGTCATAAGATGAAAGAGATGGGTACAGGGAGCCTGGAGCAATCCGTCGGGATCCTTTCATCTGCAGATGTCCGTCCGGTCTGTGAGTAGAGAAATCAACCTGAAGAATGTCTCTCAAGATAGCTAGTTTGAAAGCGAGATGATTGAGGCATCGGAGTAAAGCTGTCCGCCTTCGTGATCTCTTACCCTTCGGTGTAGATTTACCTGCTATCCAGGAGACGCCCTTTGCTTGTGATGTTGATGCGTGTGTGCTGTCTAGCGACTAAGTTGTATATTGAACATGCCGGCCAGAGATGTTTCCTTACTGGTCAAATGTACCCTGGATGCGAGGGTGGACCTTATCCTCGTCGATGCGGGGGGTGGTGAAGTTGATCGTGGCTGATATTGCCGTGAACAGTAGTTCGTTTCGGATCGTTGCGGTTTATGCGTCCAACACTCAGGGGGAGCGTGTCTCGGCTTTTCGACAGTTGGGGCCGTTCCTGGTCGATTTCAATCGAGGTTCCGATCGTTACATTCGTGAAGTTAAAACCCCGGAGGGGCGTACTCTGAGGTCGACTGACGACATGTGCAAGGCGTTTCGGCGGCATTTCGAGAGCCGGTTTACCAAGGAGCCTGGTCTCAGTGGCGATGAGTTTCGCAGCTATTTGGCTGACTTTCCTCGGCTTTCACCGACTGAAGCGGCTAGCTGCGAGGGTGAGATCGCGGAGGGCAAAGTCTACTTGGCATTGAAGAAGGCCGGCTGTGGCAAGTCTTGATGGTATACCCTATGAATTTTACTTGAGGCTGTCGCACATCTTTGTGCAGATTTTGACTGTCCTGTTCAACAACTGGCTCTGCCAGGGGTCCATCCCCAGTCGGATCACCAGGGGTGTGATCATGCTGTTGAAAAAGGGCAAGGATGGTGGGCGGGATTTAGAAGATTACAGGCCCATAACTCTGCTAAACACAGAGTTAAAGATTTTGGCCAAGATCCTGCAGAAACGTTTGCAGTCAGTTAACAAGAGTCTGTTGGCACCCGATCAGACTTGTGCTGTGAAGGGCCGAACAATTCAAATCAATCTGCATCTGATCCGCACGATCCGAGAGGTTGTAAAAGACGACAAGCAAGCCGCGCTGATCAATTTGAATCAGTCCAAGGCATTTGATAGGGTCGACCATCTGTATCTGGCTGCTGTTCTGCAGGCCACCGGATCCAACCCGAGATCTGTAATTGGATTAGCCTCCTGTATCGCTCCCCAACTGCTGTGGCACAGGTGAACGGAAAGCAGTCGCGCACTTTTGCGCTGTCTTGATCGGTTTGTCAGGGTTGTCCACTGTCGCCCATACTTTACGCTTTGGGGTTGGAGCCTCCCCTTCGCCGGCTGAGGGACGGGGCGTGCATCATGAAAACGCTGTCTTTGATGGGGCTCGAACCAGGGGTTCTGCTTACACCAATTACGTATCCGTTTACGTGTGGTGCCGCAGTGACATTGAGGTTCTACAGAAGGCACTTGAACTGTACAAAAAATTCGCAGGGACCAAGATTAACAGTAACAAGTCGTCCCGTCTTGCGGTTAGGTGCCTGGAAGTGGATCTCTTCCGGGGGCCCTTCTGTTGGACCGACGGTTCTGTCCGCATTCTCTCAGTGTGGTTTTGACCCGACCTCCAGCTGAAGAAAAATTGGTCAGAAGTACAGGCAAAGGTTGGAGCGTCGGTCTGAATTTGGCTCCGAAGGAAGTTGTCCTTGAAGGGTAGAGCTGAGGTGTGTGCTACTTACGTCTTTCCTCTCATCCTTTACCACTTGGCTGTACTTCTTCTTAGCAAGGGCCATAGGAAGGCGATCGAGCGCTTGTTGTTTACCCTCTTGTCGGGTGGGCGCAAGCAGAAGGTCCTTAAAGAAGCTTGTGTCCAAAGTCTGTGTCATGGAAGGTTGGGATTGCCGCACTTAGTGAGTAATCGACATGTCTCGAGTTTGGCTTTCCTACACAGCGTTTTGAGAGAGGATTCGATTTTGGTGGGGAGTGTTAGGGACGCCTTTCCTAACCTTAGTATCCCTCCTTTCATTTCCTGGGCTAAGCGCCGTCGTAAGTCCGTGAAATTGTCGACTTTCCTCAACGAGTGTCGAGCGGCCTTGGGGGCTTTTCCTCGGCCCAGTAACCTTTTACGGCCTGGCAATTGATTCGAAACGTGTTATCCCTCAAAGACATGGCCTTCAGATACGTTTGGCTGGATTTACCCGACTGTTACCGGTGTGACCTTGGTTTAGAAGAAACAGCTTTGCACACTTCTACCATTGTTCTTAGGTACGCCCTTTCTGGGACTATTTCGGCGAGCTGACGGCTCGTATTGCTCCCGATCACCTTGTGCTCATCGATCTCGCATACGCATGCGACAATGTGTCGTCTGCGTATTCTGGGGTGAAACGAATCGAGTTTCTAACTTTGCTAGCCGTGACAATCATGATGATGTGGATGACGCACAAATTGGGACTCTTGCGACACGATCGCTATTCTCATCAGGTTCTGATCGGACACTTTCCGCATCAGTTGAAAGTGAAGATCAGACCTAACAAAAACCGTGTGAGGTCGACAGATTTCAACGAAAGGTGGGTGAAAGTAGCGAGCTTTGTTCGTGTGAAAGAACACAGAACCCTTGAGTTCTTTTTCAAGTCATCTTTCGTCACAACGGGGTGTTTCCTTGTGTGACCCCCCCCTTTTAAAGGTAGACCCTCTTTTTGTGTACCTAGTTAATGTGAGTGAGTGTCGTTCCCGATCTGTTTCCGTCTCTTTTACTTCTTTTATGAGCAAAGTTGAGATTCCTAACCTCCCCAATTTGGTTTTCGTCCCTTTTTTTTCATCTCGACGGGTTCAGACTTTGAATTACCCACGTCCTGCAATTATATTTTCCTCCCCCATTCTGTTAGAGAGTCAGCTTCTTGATTCTGTCTGATGACAGAATACAGCGGCAACCCTGATTTTTGTGTGGTGGACGGGTCCTTACTGGCATCTGTTATTATGTGTTAGTTTCTGTTTTACATTTTGTTGATATTGGGATTTAGAATCCTGCCCCGCCCATTTCATATCATCTTCATATATATATATATATATATATATATATATATATATATATATATATATATATATATAAATTATGAACATTTGTACGTAAGAATGTTTTTAAATCATGGGGTTTAATATTTTGGTTCCATTTGTGGATGTGGTATTGTGGTATATGTAGGAGTATAAGGTGAAGGGTGACTTCTTTTGGTGAATGGGTTATTTGTATTGAATGAATGGGTCGTTAATCGGGTTATCTATCCCCGTCATTTAATCTATCTATCTATCTATCTATCTATCTATCTATCTATCTATCTATCTATCTATCTATCTCATTCGTTTTATTTGCTATCTATCCCAGTCGTTTAATCTCTCTCTCTCTCTCTCTCTCTCTCTATCTATCTATCTATCTATCTATCTATCTATTTGTTTCTTATTATATTGATTTTCATTTCTATCTATCTATCTATTTATCTATCTATCTATCTCATTCGTTTTATTTATCTATCTATCCCTATCGTTTAATATCTCTCTTTCATTTCATTATCTATCTATCTATCTATCTATCTATCTATCTATCTCATTCGTTGTTTCATTATCTATATCGTTTAATCTATCTATCTATCTCTATCTATCTATCTATCTATCTATCTATCTGATTCGTTTCATTATCTATCTATCCCATCTATGTTATCATATCTATCTATCTGATTCGTTTCATTTCTATCTATCAGTTGTTTCATCTATCTATCTATCTATCTATCTATCTATATCTCATTTGTTTCATTTTTATCTATCTACCTCATTCGTTTCATTTGCTATCTATCCCAGTCGTTTAATCTCTATCTTTCTATCTATCTATCTATCTATCTATCTATCTATCTATCTATCTATCTATCTATCTATCTCATTATTTCATTTCATTATCTATCTATCTATCTATCTATCTATCTATCTATCTATCTATCTATCTATTTCATTCGTTTCATTTGCTGTCTATCCCAGTTGTCTAATGTCTCTCTCTCTATCGAACTATCTATCGATATTATTTGTTTCATTATCTATCTATCTATCTATCTATCTATCTATCTATCTATCTATCTATCTCAGTCAACATGCTTTTTCCCAAATGTAGATGTCTGCAGCGGTGGAACTTGAGAATGGATCTAGCTAGATTACTATCTACCTGTCTTTTACAGATATCAGACCGTTTATCTGTTTGTCGGATTTAATCCTATCAATTTTTTTTTATCATAGCTAACTTTGGATCCATCTTACTTTCTTCATGATTATCTCGGCCGCTTCTTAGCTATTCATTAATCGATACACCTCTCGATCGATTAATCGATTTAATCTATCTCATATCCGTATCTCATTTCATAACTCACTCTTCATATTCCTCTGTGACTGCCATTTTAAATAACTCGATCAAAGTACACCTATATCTGTCTATAAATCGATATATTTAAATCGTTTAATAGCAATCCACAAATTGATTTATCTGCAACTCTTAATGTTTATTATCTTATTTTCCATATCGATCTTCCCATCTGTTTAAATCGATTTGTCGACCTACCTCTTTTAATATTTTTCTTTCTGTGTAGCATGTGTCGAGTGAAACACCTACATAGACATAAGTAGACTTTTCACTCGGTGTCTTTTGTAGAGGCCAGGTGCAATGTTGACCTAAAAGACGACAGCCTAACGGCCAAGTGCAGGCCAACTTTGCTGCATGAGGATGATATAAATTTATAAGATTACATTTTTTGAAGTCGACGTAACGTTATTAAAAAAGCAGGAACATCTTTAAAACCTGAATAATAATGCAACGTATTTATAGGTAATCGACTATTGGTAGACGTGGTCTAAGGTCGTAAAAACCCAAGGAAAATATATTGATTACTGAATACTAACGATATGTAAGAAAATAGGGTTTTTAAGAGAAAGCACTCAAAAGGTAAATGATTTACTTAATGTATTTTGAAAACGATGGATACGCAGTCTTGACTGTCTGACCAAGACTGGCTTTCATCTTTTGTGTCGCTTTTGAGGAATGTCATTCTGCTTTGTGTTGTCATGCGCCGTCTCAATAGATATTTAAAAATATGATCGGTATAAACAAATTAAATATATAAATAACGCAAACTTGTGCTGATATAAACTAAAGATATTAAAAGAAAGTACTAAACATTAACTACACGAAGACAGAATGCATGTTTTTTTTTTTAACAAAAGGATGAGTCCAAAGAACCATTTGCAAATCGGAGATACTGAAATCAAACAATTACAAACAATTTAAATCTCTGTGAAGTGTGATAACAGAGGACGGAATGTGTGACACCGAAATCCGAAGACGCATTGAGATTGCCAAAGATGCTTTCCAAAAGCTAAGCAGAGTATTAAGAGACAGAAAAAAAATCGTTAGAAAATAAAAGACTATTGAACTGTTACTGGATATGTGTCATCTTGTATGGCAGTGAATGCTGAAAAATCTCTTCAAAGATGAAGAACAAACTTGAAGCAGCAGAAATGTGTTTCTACAGAAGGACGTTCAGTATACGATAGACTGAATATGTGAGCAACGACGAAGTTTTAGAGAAAATGGAAACTTATAATTAACATCAAGAAGAGAAAATTAAAACATAATAATAAGGAGGAAAGAGGGCTTGGAAAATTTGATACCCACGAGACAGATTGAAAACACAAGTGACAGAAGCAAACGGAATATCACATGATGAGCTTAAATAAAAGGATGTCAGAAAAGGTTTAGAAGAAAATAAGGAAAATGATTAAGAGAAAGCAAATGATTAATATTTACCAAGAACAGGAGGTTTTGTAAAACAATGATCACCTGCGTCATGGGTGGGTGGGGGCGTTCACGGAACATAAAAAAAGGACACCAGATAAACAAACGGAAACTTTCAACTCTTTTCCACAGAAAATAATTGGTTTTGGTTCCCAATAGAAAATGCTAAAGAGTTTTCTCATGTATTTGTTCTCAAACGCTTGGATCCTTTTCTTTGTATCTGCCAACGGTGTCCACGTTTGGCATCTATATAGGAGAAAGCGATTTGTACAGTCTGTACTTTGAAAGCTGATTTTGCTCTTTTATATTCTTGTCAATTTGGCCATGGCAGCGCTGGTCAAATTGATAAGAATATGGAGGAGTAAAATCAGCTTTATCATAGAATTGTAAATTGTAGTCATGTTTCGTTGTTCGAAAATTGCTGGTTAATGGTAAGGATAATATTAACCATTTTCTTATAAGGAAACATTAGTCAGTCACTGACCAAGCAACCGATGCTATTGTCATTTGAAATTTATAAAATCTTACTCTTACAGTAACTATTCAGGAATGTAGAGGGGGGGATCCGAAGGTCCTGTCATCTTTATATAATATAATTTTCTATTTCAACGCTATGAAGAGTATTATAAAGGAGAGAGATAGATAGATAGATAGATAGATAGAGAGAGAGAGAGAGAGAGAGAGAGAGAGAGAGTTTGACATGAACGATAACAAGTTGAATACCCATAAGTTAAAGGACGCCGTTCAGAGAGCCTTTGCAATTATCAAGAAAGCACATCTTCGTTAAATATCATACAGGATATGGCGCCGTATCATTTTTTGCCACGAAAATAATGCTGTTTATACATAGGTAAGAATCCATCTCTCTTCTCTCTCGCTATGGGCCAATTAGCAATACTTGTTTCACTAAATCATTATTATCTCCCCCACTAAAAAAATCTTACAATATAAAATATTGTCCTACTTTAAATAACTTGCCATGGGTTGATAAGACATAAAATACGAATCAATCAAAAATCAAATAAATGTTTTTTGTTTTTTTTTTAAATATCGGTAAGTTAAAATATTAAAATATACAAATTATTGCTCATGTAAACGAAATATAAAACTTTGGTATATATTTCTGACACAATATATATATATATATATATACACAAACCTCCAGCGGGTCGACTTTTATGACGACAAGAACCATACCTTCCTAATGGTATTCCATTTTTTTGTTATTTATTTATTTTTATTTATATGCATTTTCTCTTTTCTTTCACCAACCCTCAAGCACCTCGTTAGCATAATGTATATCTAGCAGGCTTTGCGTTCTACAGATGATTTATAAGTGACGGCACGCGTTGGATCCAAAATGTCACCCGTATCGGCATGCCTTATCACATCCGATAATAAGCCAGCAACGGATCGCTAGACGAAAGAGCCACGATCATACGAAATTAGGTCCGGGAATTAACGGCACCGGATAAAAATACTAGCTTGATGCAAATATCTTCAGCACTTTTAAACAAAATCTCTGTTCGTTTTCATTCGATATGTTGTAAAACCGATAAAGGAACCCGGACATTTTTTTTTAAACAAGAAAGAAAAAAAAAAGAAAGATCAACTTAAAAAAGAGTCTATATTTGTTGAAATTTCGAACCGAACTATTTATTTAGTCCATGGAGGTAGATTATTCTAATTCCACGTGCCGTGCCTTTGGATATTTCAGTTTTAGTTAATCCGCTTTGATAACTCTCCAAGTTTATCTTTCCGCTGAAGCTCGGAATTGAACTCAGAACTCTTCCGGTCCAGTCACGATTTAGATCAATCAACTAATGTTTTTATTCACTGCATCATGTTATCAGACTGGAGGAGACGATCCAAGCATGTAACACCTCTGGAAAGTGCCTGAAAACCATATCAAAGATTGGCCAAAGCCTTGTGAGACAAACTGGGTGCCGTCAGTCGTTCTGCTAGCATGAAGTTATAAGTCATCGTGACCGAGGATTTGAGTGTGTTAGCTTTGTTCAGACCGTTGATCACGCTAGATAATACGCTCTCACCTAAAAACTGTAACTAAGGTCCGCTCAGCATAGTTTTAGTATAAAACCACATTTGTGCTCTCTGGATGTTGGACAAACACAAATATGCCTAAGCAGGTGTCTGCAGCGGGAATAGCTAGCCGCTCTAGTAGACTGGCATTCTAGGATTCGAGTGGCTGCTTTTAAGAGAAAATATTTTGGAATACAGTTTGATTTCTTTAAGAAATTGTAAAATGTATGTATTAATATCATGAAAAAATTTTTTCATGGTTGATTTTGTTTAGCGGCATATCAACACCTCTATGGGTTATCTTATACCGAAATCTAAATATTTTGAACACATTTGTATGCCTTCAACTACAGATAAAATATACTGCTGGTCATTTTACTATCAAAAGTGTTGTTGATATATATATATATATATATATATATATATATATATATATATATATATATATATTATTATTATTATTATTATAGAAATGTATTACTGGTATTTTTACTATAAAATGTAATTTTATACTTCTGTCATGTTTTATTTTTTTGTGTGTGTGGGGGGCAGCGTTTGCCCATAACTCAGACCCGAACCACCCCAAGTCAAGGTGCACCTGAGAAAAAAATCAATTTAGAGGTGCTTCTACGCTCCTCGAAACCAGTAATCTACCGATCAGAGGCCTTGCTGCCGGATGTAGTTTATCGTCATACCCAGAACTACCGAGGCAAGGAGACTCCATTAGAGAACAACTATTTCATCAGGACTGGTGTATACTCAAGGTCTGCTCTGGGGGTGAGGAAATTTATTAGGTTGGTTTGGAGGTACTGAATGGCATTTGTCAGTTAGTTCCTACGTTGATGTGTGCGAGCTAGATCATAAGATAAATCAGCTGCCAGGCTTTGGTCATCACAATTTTTGGAGGAGCATCTATAAACCGAGGTATCTTTGGTATATAAATTTACAAATGGTTGGATTGTAATCAGATGATAAGTATAAAGCAGAAGGAGGATATATATATATATATATATATATATATATATATATATATATATATATATATATATATATACACTCGACTCATCATTATATATATATATATATATATATATATGTGTGTGTGTGTGCTCATGTACATTGAGTAGAGATCTCATGTTTTTATATCTGAAAATAACATTTTTCTTTCTAATTCCATCGTTGATTTCTTGAGTTTTTTAGATTTGCATTTTTTGGTTTGGACATCTGTATTGATATTTATTTTATTGTCTTTTAGACATATGTTCACACACACACACACACACACATACACACACACACACACACACACACACACACAGACACACACACACACACACACACACATATATATATATATATATATATATATATATATATATATATATATATATATATATATATATATATATATTTCTTATTCATGATCTTGCATGGTTATTTCTTTTACATAATTCCCTCCTAGATGAATCGAAGACGAATTTGGATGAAGAAAATATCAACGGCCCATAGCATTACAGAATAAACAGACGTTGATCTCATCCTCCGCACGCTAGAGAGTTCAAATGCAAAAGCAACACTATCGCCTTACAAAAAGAAATGGACTGCATACTTAGAAAATCGCAAAGACGCTTTCGTGGACTTCTTTTTTTATGTATTTTCTTTATATCTTTATTTTATTTCTTTTTTCATTCGCTTTCGTTATTTCAACTTTTCCTTCGTCCTTCGATTTCAAATTTTCTTAACCTTATATTTATACTTCACCGAAGTTCTGTTACTCTTATTTGCTATATTCTTTTTAATGTCTTTTTCGCCGGAATCTATCTCTCGATCCAATCTCTTCGTCTATCTATCTATCTATCTATCTATCTATCTATCTATCTATCTATAAGGTTCTTTATTTATTTATTTCTTTGTACCAATTTGTCTATATCCCTATCTATCTATCTATCTATCTATCTATCTATCTATCTATCTATCTATCGTTTCTTCCATTTTTTTTTATATTTCTTTCTTTGTCCCCGTCTTTCTTTCTTTCTTTCTTTCTTTCTTTCTTTCTTTCTTTCTTTCTTTCTTTCTGTGTTCCCATCTATCTATCTATCTATCTATCTATCAATCTATCTATCTATCTATCAGTTTCTTTTTCTCTCATTCTTTATTTCTTTCTTTCTACTAATTCATCTCTCTATCTATCTATCTATCTATCTAGCTAGCTAGCTAGCTATCGTTTCTTTCTTCCATTTCTTTATTATTCTTTATTTAATTCTTTGTACTAGTTTATATATCTATCTATCTATCTAGCTAGCTAGCTAGATAGATAGCTATCGTTTCTTTCTTCCATTTTTTTTATATTTCTTTCTTTCTTTCTTTCTTTCTTTCTTTCTTTCTTTCTTTCTTTGTCCCCATCTTTCTTTCTTTCTTCCCACCTATCTATCTATCTATTCTTTCTTTCTTTCTTTCTATGACTTTTTCTTCTTAAATGTTTTCGTTCAATGAAACTTTTCTTCTTTCAGAATTGTTTTCTTCTTTCATTCGTTCAATTATCTCCTTCCTTCTTGCCGTCTCTTCTTTTCTTATTCCTTCTCTGCCACCCCACCCCACTTTCCTCGCTCGAATTTACCTTAAATTATCTCTTTTATTCATTCATCCTAATTATTTCTCCTTTTCTTTTCTCGCCATATTTTAAAGCTTATTTCAATCCTGTCAATTTCTGGACGTGTACAATTTCATTTTTTTTTCTTTGTATTCATTCCTCCTGCTGCTAAATTATTCCTTTACTTCAACCGATGAACAAAACTTTCTTTCTCAAACCTGTCTTTCTTTATTTTACTTTTTTGCTCTTTCCTTCCTACCTCCATTTTATTGTTCGTTTCTGCTGTCTATCTATCTTCCTTTCTTTATTCCTTTTTTTTAATTTTTTATTTTTTTCCTTCTTTGTTTCTTCCTTAACTCTTTCCTTGATTTTCTCTTTCTTTTGTACATCTTTTCTTTCCTTCGTCCCTTCCTTCTTCTTTTCGTTCATTCTCTTCCATTTTTCTTTACTTTCCTAATTCTTTCATTCGTAATTTATTCCATCATTCCTTCTCTCTTTAATCCCTTAATTCTGTCCTCCGAATTCTCTCCTCTCTTTCCTTCCTCCCTTCCTACATCCCATTCTCTCAATTTTCTTCTTCTCTCTTCTCACGTCCTTCTCTTTCCTTTTTCTTCTTCTTTCCTTCTTTCCCTCTTTTTCATGTCAATTTTGACAAAATGAAAAAGCAAAGAGGATTATGTGACTTTTTCAAGTTGACCTTTGTTTGCTTGACCTCACTTTACCTGTGGATTCATATTTCTTAAATCCTCCAAGCTTCTGCAATAAGGAGACATATCTTATTTTTTTTTCGAGGTGCACAGGCTCACTGAGTGACTCTTCAGCCCACACGAATTTAAAATATTCCAGCAGACCCGTGCACAAAAAGTGACGTTGCACAATTGCATCTTGGCGTCCATTTATACATGTTCAGCGTTGTGCGTATAGAAAATACTTGCAATCGATCCTATGCATGAATGTTGGAGATACATACTTACTGTGATAGATTTATAGGTAGATATGAATACACACATGCACAGGCACGCGCACACACACACACACATATATATATATATATATATATATATATATATATATATATATATATATATATATATGTGTGTGTGTGTGTGTGTTATTTATATTAAAACATATATTATTAAATATAACAGACAACAAGCGTATATTATGTTTGAACATGAGCCGTTCAAAATTCGTATAGTGGCTTTAGTGTCAGGAGAATATACAGTCCAATATTTGGATATATTATTATCATGCTGTTCCTCGATCTAAGCTTTTGGCTCATAGGAGCCATAATCAGTCTGGTTATATGGGCATTACTACATATATATATATATATATATATATATATATATATATATATATATATATATCAAAGTGAACATTGAAGTCAACACTCAGAGGCAACAGGCTGTGTCATGCGTTCACTTTTTATATTTACATGTGCTCTTTATCCATAAATATAGCACAACTTAAGTCTATATTTCTTGATATATATATATATATATATATATATATATATATATATATATATATATATATATATATATATATATATATATGTATGTATGTATAAAAGTTTTCCATTTTGTCACATATATATTTCTTCCAATACTGTTCTTGATATATAAAACAATATATATGGTTATCCCATATGCGTGTGTGGAGCTGTGTGTGTGCGAGAGAGAGAGAGAGAGAGAGAGAGAGAGAGAGGAGAGAGAGTGAAAGAGTAAGATATGAATAGATAGATAGAAAGTTTAATCATTTCACCTAAGCAAGGCAATAAAGCCACCAAGACGGAAGGCGTTTCTGAATACTAAAGAATATGAAAAAGAAAGATAAATACGCTATTAAAGATAGAGAACAGTACAAGAACATTAATTAAGAAGTCAGTAAATAACGATTAAAATTGCATTTAAATTTTTTCAGATCAACGTTGCTTGGAAAGTAAGAAGCCAGTAAAGAGTTCTATAAGCAAGAAGTGTGACAGAAGAAACTGTTAGCATAGAACTTACGGTTCCATTTAAGTATTTCAAGTGTAAAATGCTGAGAATTGCCGCCAGACTAGTACAGTGCTTGAATTCAGATCCAAGAAACACAGAGGAAAATTATGGGAAAAACTACATCAAAATATGTATAGGAAAACTACATTACGACGGAGATAAAATGACTGAAGTCTAGATGCCAGGTCAGGACCAATTACATTGCAGATTTCTTCTTTGGATTTTATCAAGAATTTATATATATATATATATATATATATATATATCAGTGGCACTAAATTATTATGCTGTAAAAAATATTTAAAGCATAGATTAATGATAGATTTATGAATATGAAAAATTTCTAAGAGTTAACCTATAGAAAAAGACAATATTTATAAATGTAAAAGACAATAGGAAAACTTTAATAGTTGCCAACGCGTTTTGTCCAATGCGGACTTTCTCAGAGCAAAAAAAACGAAATGAGATTTATTAAATAAAGTAACTAATAATAATAAAACAAAATGTCCTTAGCAACTGGAAGAATTTAGAGAAACGCTATTTTCATACTGTTAACTGAAACTTACGTCAATTACTATCATGTGTGGAGATATTGTTTTTATTGTTGTGTTGACGGATTCAACTGTTTTCTTTTGATTTCTTGATACTGTTGTGTATATTTGTTTGGGAGAGTAGTAATTATGTTAAGAAAGGTGAAATAGGGAAAAAGCCTGGGTGTAGATTAATATTTGGGTAACATTCAGTACCAGTAATTGACGTAATTTTCAGTTAACAGTATAAAAATAGCGTTCTCTAAATTCTTCCAGTTATTAAGTACATTTTGTTTTGTTATTATTAGTTACCTTGTTTTAATAAATTCATTTCGTTTTTGCCTTGAAAAAGTCCACATTGGACAAAACGCGTTGGCAACTATTACAGTTTTCCTATTGTCTTTTATATTTATAAATACTTATGAATATATAAGATAGATTGATGTTAGAAAATTGTCTAGTACGGCACACTGAACCAATTCTCCTATCAGTGGACTTAGCAATTAATTCAATATATTCTTTTCACTTCAAGTCAGCTGAAAATCACTTTCCTGGAGGTTAGCATGTATTGTTTCCACCTCATTCATATTTATTTATTCTAACATTAAAATAAACTACTCCGTTATGATGCTGTTCGGGGTGTTTTTATCTTCTTGTACCCTTCTATCTCAGTTTGTCAGACCTGCTGCCATGTACCCAGGGTTGTTGCTGCGTTTACTGCTTATACTGACCATTTCTTGATCATATGTCTCTGGGTCGCCAATTATGACTTTTGCTCGATGTTTTAAGCAGCGGACGATCCCTTTCTTTACACTGTATGGGTGGCGGTAGTTGAAGGTTTGCTATTGTCCGGTGAATGCTGGCTTGCGGTAAAAGGATTTCTTGAACCCATTCTCTATTCAAGATATTAGTACACCAGGAATGCGACTTTATTGCCATTTTCTCTCTCCAGTGTGAACTGAATCGATGATCTTATTGAGTTCACATGGTCCAGTAGTAGCTGGAGCTCTTCCAGGTATGACCAGTGTATAAAGCTGCCATCTGCGTATCTCAGGCTTTAGTGATATGCATTCTAGTGCTATTTCTTCGAAGTATTCAGTGTATATATTTGCAATTGCTGGTGATAATGGCGAGCCCATTGCTAAGCCTTCATCCTATTGATATATGTCTGATCCCATTCCGAAGTGTGTTGATTGTGTACAGAAAGTCCGTATCTCTATCAGGTTATCTATTGGTTTACTGGTCAGTTATCCTGGGGATGTGCCCGAATCTAGTTTCTCCCTGACTACCGAGCGTGTATCCTCTGTGTGTACCTCGGTGAACAAAATTGGTTGGAGTGGATGGGAGCATCTTTGATTATTCCCACGAAGTGAACGGAGTTTCGGACATAGTAAGGTGACCTTCCAATTAATGGGTCAATTATATCTACAAGGTTTAACCTCAGAGGGTGGCACACAGACCCCTGGTAGTTAATAATTGGCCTGAGAAGAATATCGTCTTTGTGAATTCTGGGTAGACCGTATATGTGAGGGAGCTTGGTGTAACGCTATGACAACTGTCTGTATGTCTTAGGAGTGAATTGGTACTTGTCCTTGATTAGGATCTGCGACAGTTTTCGTTCTGTTTTCATTATTGGATCTTTCTTTATTGCAGCTACTATTCCTAATGAGGTCTTCTAGTTTTTCCGTATATTCAGATTTGACCATTACTACAGTCGCATTGTTTTTGTCAGCTGGCAGTATGATGATGTTTTCATTCCTCTGTAGAATTTCGATTGCCAGACTCTCCACTTTCGTTATGTTTGATTTGAGTGGCTTGGCTTTCTCCATTATATGTCTCACTTTCCATCTGGCCGAGCCTGAGGGATGTTCAAAGCTATTTCCTAGATTCAGGCAATGATGTTCAAGTATGGTATTCACCTGATAGTTGTGGCGAAGTTGAGACACTTGTCTAGTACTGATTCTTCAGAAGCACACAGTTGGTGTTGACTGAAGTGGATTACTGCCTTCACCTGGGGGTGATGGAACCTGAGCGTCACTTTCTGACCTTTCAATCTATTTTTTTTCTTTTTTAAAAGTAACACTGCAAGAATATCGTAAAGCCGTAACACAAGGGGAAATAGAAAAATCAGGCATAGCTGAGCACACTTGAAGGCAAAAAAAAAAGATCACCGCCCCCTGTGGGATGAAATTGAAATAATAGACAGAGAACATCACGGGAAAATGCGAAAACTTAAGGAATCAGCACATATGCTAGGCCACAAAAATCTCTTAAGCCAACCAAGCATAGAAATGAATACAATATGGGAGCCAGTAATAAAGAGAAAAGCAATAATAATAACAAAAATTGCAATATGAGTTCTGGTAAAAACGGTAAGAGACATTAAGTTTATATGTCTCCAAGAATTCATACAATGATGTCAAGGGCATATAGTCCAGTAGATAAAAGAGTTGCTTGGATCCAGTGTCTTACTCCATAGGGTTTGTGAGATCAATGCTTGGTTACCACAGTGGTGAAAAAAATGGATTTGAGTTAAAGGGAGTTAAGTTGATCACTATGCCCCGGTTAAGTTCGAAATTCCAATCAGGCCGGATCTTAAAACGTCCAAAAATCGTGAATATGACAATACTGATGAGGACAATAGTCCTAACAATGTAGATAATCACACTACCTCATCTCAGAAATATTGAAAAATATAATTATTTTTTAGTTGTATATTTTGTATATCTTTCTCCTTTCTGTCTCTTTAGTTGTATATTTTGTATGTCTCATCTCAGAAATATTGAAAAATATAATTATTTTTTAGTTGTATATTTTGTATATCTTTCTCCTTCCGATGTGAATGAAATAATGTGGATATAGATTCGAGAATACCCGTCTACTAGGGCGTCTAGACAATCCTTTTTGCGGACACTCGTTCAGGTGCATTTGTGTTTGTTCAACACCCACCTGTGGTTTATACTACAACTGTGCTGAGCAGACCTTTGTTGCAGTTTGTCTTGGTAAAAGTTTAAAAATCGACTTTCTATGTGTGCATCTATTTTTGGTCACGTACTATATATATATATATATATATATATATATATATATTTGAAAAAATATAATCTTAAGGTGTGCTATATTTATAGTATAAAGTACTCAATATCAGAGATAGAGCGTGTCCGAATATAAAAAGTGAACATTGAAGTCAACACTTAAAGGCGACAGTCTGTTTCATGCTAGACCCAATCGTCAGACTATTGTGTCTAGCATGAAACAGATTGTCATCTCAAAAAGCTTGACATCAATGTTCACTTTTATATATATATATATATATATATATATATATATGTATACACTGCGTGCCAAATTATTATCGAGATAACTTTTTTCTAATATTTCAAAAAACGTCCAAACAATTCACACAAAATTTTCAAACAATGCTGGCAACACTGACCTGCGCAATCACTGAAATTTTCGTACTGATCTGCGCAATGTAAACAAACTGGCGCCATATTTTTTATCAGCACGGTGATTTGAGCGTGCCAAATCATTAGAAAAGTATAAGAATTTAGTGAAAAGATGGGACGTAAAAGCAGTTTAAGTGATGCTGAAAAAAAACTATTACCTCAGAACTCTCAAAAGGTAAATCTACCCTAGAAATTCTTAAAATGATAGGGAAGTGTCATCAAACAGTGAAAAATTCACCGCCGACCCTACACAAGTACGCACAAAGGCATATAAAGGCAAGCCGAGGGTTATTTCACGTCGCCTCATGTCACGACTTAAACGAGAGGCCACGAAGAACCCTGGACTTACCAGTCAAGAGCTTTTCAGTCGTACAGGGGATCCTACTGTGTCTAAAAGTACTTGGTGTCGGTATCTGAGGGAAATAGCAACAACAGTCAAACCTGTATCGAAGTCTCCTTTGACGAGAAATCACATTCAAAATAGATTGAAATGGACCGAGGACAATATGAAGTTTGACTTATCTAAAGTTTTGTTCACTGACGAAACTCGAGCAACACTTGATGGGCCAGATAGATGGTGCAAAGGCTGGGTAATGAACAGACAGAATCACCATCAGTGTTTGAGACGCCAACAAGGCGGTGGAGGCATAATGATCTGGGGTGGTATTATTGGAAACACATAGAGAGTACCAGATGGCGTCAAAATGACTGCTGATGCATGCATAGCGTTTATGAAGGAGCGTCTTGAACCGTGGATGAAAACGCAAAGAGTTGCCTTCAGAAGGGTCATTGTTTTTTATGCAAGATAATGCTCCCTCACATCCTTCTCACAAGACTACTGAATATTTGAAACAGTTAGGCTTCGATGGACTTCGAAAAATGAAGTAGCCAGCAAATTCTTCGGATTTGAACCCAATCGAAAACCTTTGGAGCATCATGAAGCGAAGACTGTACGCCAACGGACGACAATTCAGGAGCAACGCTGAGTTGAGGAAGCAATTCTTGACATATCGCGGCATTACAGCAGATGGCATCGTACAATTAACAAATTTTATGGATCGTCGGCTTTTTCAAGTAATTTCAAAACAGGGAAAGCACATTCCCTATTAATTTGTTTAAAACTGTGCCTTTGTTTGTATCTGTTATTATTTGTTTGATTATCTTATTTATTAGCTTCTTTTGATCATAAACATTCAGGTTCAACATTAATAAACGTTCTGTTTGCTCAATACTGGGAATTTTGCTAAACATTTATAATAATTTGGCACGCTCAAATCACCGTGCTGATAACAAATATGGCGCCAGTTTGTTTACATTGCGCAGATCAGTACGAAAATTTCCGTGATTGCGCAGGTCAGTGTTGCCAACATTGTGTGAAAATTTTGTGTGAATTGATTGGACGGTTTTTGAAATATTAGAAAAAAGTTTTCTCGATAGTAATTTGGCACGCAGTGTATATATATATGTGTGTGTGTGTGTGCGTGTGTGTGTGTGTGTGTGTGTGTGTGTGTAGGGAGAGAGAGAGACAGACAGAGACAAACATGTATATTATTAGTTGTTGATTAACCAAGTAATGTCAGTTTAAAAATAATATTTTAAAAACATGATGGATGCCCATAAAACTCTGAAATGTCAGAGATCGCAACGGGGACCTAAAAAAACACGCCCCCACCCATAGCCGGGCGTTTCGGAGGTAAGACGCGCCGGCTATGATTTTATCTGCTAATAAGTGTGACATTCAGTAGAACTTTTAATATGTATGGAATTATTTGATCTAAAGTATGCCATAATTTTTCGTCGGAATGTTCTTGGGAGTGCTGCTATCGAATTTTGCCAAAATGTTAACTTAGGCCCAGGATTTTTAAAAAAATATCTCATTTCCTATAAGAAATCTTCCTTTCCCAAGCCTACATACATGAATATATATTTTAAAAAAAATAAAAGTAAATGGTTAGATCGAAACTATTAATTAAAATACATAAATACATAAATATTTTATCAAATTAAAATAAGTAATATTTTCATCAATAGCAAAAAAGTAAATAAATAAATAAATAAATATAAAAATAAGAAAAGAATCAACAACAACAGTAACAATAAGAAAGTTTACTCACTTTTGTTTATTAGGCATTAAATTCTATCACTTATTATCCTCCATAGTTGATCTTGAATTTCACAGCATTATGAATATTTTGAACATCCATAAAATTAAAAAAATTGAAACCCTAATAATATTTTCTACTTCTGTGTATCGATACATATTGCAAAATAAAATCCTTACAATTGCCTTGATAAATTCGATCAAAGGACGAAACCCGTTGGTAAAGAAACGTTTTACTTTTTTTCTCTGTCATTGTCTCTGTCTGTATGTTAGCCTGTCTCTGTCGGTCTCTCTCCCTCTCTAACTCTTCTCTCTCTCTCTCTCTATATATATATATATATATATATATATATAGAGAAGAGAAAGAGAGAAGAGAGAGAGAAGAAGAGAGAGAGAGAGATCTGCACACCTTATAAACACAACAGGATTTGGCCGTCCAAGCCGTTTCTTGGTGAATGACTCGCTAAAAAGAACATCCATTTTCACGGTTTCTGAAGCCACGCGATGTCGAATTATTCCTGACATTTATTTTCCAATCGTTGTTCCATTCTTGGCAGAACGATTTTGGAGAGTCTGTTTGATCTTTGTACGAGGCAAACTTTACGCGGGGTCAATAATACCAACGCCATCTGGTGACTGGAATGGAGCGGGGTTTAATTTCCTTCCATTTTACCTCTAAATTAAGCCGCACCCTTCATCAACTTAACTTTGCTAACGTGATTATCTCCCCCTCGGTGATGACATTTTTCGCTGTTAAGACCGGCTAAAAATGAGGCTTGTTTTAGCGGCGTTTAAATAGACGAATCGAGGAAAAGACAGGCGAAAATAAGGTAAGGTAAGGGATAGAGAGAGTGAGAAGAATTACAAAAGAAAGAAAGAAAGAAAGAAAGAAAGAAAGAAAGAAAGAAAGAAAGAAAGAGATGTAGAAAAAGAAACGCTAAGAAATGATAAATAAAATAGTATTAATAAGATGAAAGAAAGAAAGGAAAATTGATAAGAAAAATACAAGAGAATGATTAAAACCAAAGAATAGAAAAGAAACGAAACGAAAGAAAGGAAAAGACAATGAAAATGAAAATATAACGGAAAGAATGAAAGGAAAGAAAATAAAAGAAGAAAAAAATGAGAAAAGACTGAATTTAAAAGAAAATTATATTATATTGAATAGCAGCAAAGAAAAGAAAAAGAAGAAGGAAAGAAATAGACAAAAGAAAGTAAAAGAGAACATAGAAAGAAAGAATAAAAAGGAAAAAGTGAGAAATTGAAATGAAACTAGGTTAAAATGGGAAAAGAAAAAGAAAAGGAAAAGAGAAGAAAGAAAGAACGAAAGAAAGAAAATAACAGATATTATAATGAAAGAGACCTGAGAAAAGAACCTAGAAGGAACAAATAAAAAAGAAATAAGAAGAAATAAGGAAATATAAAGTAAAATAGAAGGAAAAGACCAAAAAAAAAAAATTAAAAAAAGGGAAGAAGAAATAAATGAAAAGAAAAATAAGATAAGAAAAGAAATGAGGACAAAATAATAAGAAAGGAGAAATGACAAAAAAAAAAGAAATTAAGAAATAAAAAATGAAAAGAAAATATAACAGAATAACACGAAAAGAAAAGAGAACAAAATAACACAAAAGAAAATAGGGAAGGAACATTTAAACAAAAAATATAATCGATTGAATAAGAGCAAAAATAAGAAAGAAAAAGAAACGGAAATATAATAAAAAGAAAAGGGCAGAGAAAGAAAGGAAAAAGAACAAGCAAAAAGTATGGAAGAAAAATAAAATTAAAAATACGTTTACAAAAAGAATGATAAAAACGTAACAGAAAAAGAAAATCCGAAAGCGTGAAAGAGAGATGCGATATGAAAGTAGAATTGCGGAAAAGGAAATGAAAGTCAAAAGAAAGTAAATAAGGAAAAGAAAGAAAGAAATATGGAGGTAAATAAAACTGAAAGAATGAAAAGTAAACAGAAAATGGAAGCAAAAATAAAAAATCGAAAAATAGATGAAAAGATACGAAAAAGTAAGTATAAAGAAAAGAATAAAAGGCATGACTGAAAGAAAAAAAAAACTGGGGAGAAAAATTGAAAGGATGTCAAGGAAAGTACCGATGAAAGAAAATAGAAATCCGAACAAAAAGAAACAAAGAAAATACGAAAGAAAGAAAAAAAGGAAAAAAAAAACCGAAAGAGAAAAAAAAGAAAGAAATATTACGGAAAAAGAAATTGAAATTATGAAAATGAAAGAAATTATGATCTAAAGCAGTTATTGAATCAAAAAATGAAGGACAATTTAGGAAAAGCAAGAAAGTAAGACATAGAACGGAAAAGAAAATTGAATGAAGATCAAGGAAAGATGGGATGAAATTGTAGGAATATATATATATATATATATATATATATATATATATATATATATATATATATATATATATATATTTATATATATATATGTATATATATATATATATACATATATATATATATATATATATATATATATCTATGTATGTATATATATATATATATATATATATTTCGAAATATGGCCTGACGAACGATTGCATATAGCATGAAAACAGACTGTCGCTCCTAAGTGTTGACTTCTATGTTCACTTTTATATATATATATATATATATATATATATATATATATATATATGAAAAGAAAGAAGGAAAATAAAGACAGAATTGAAAATAAAGAATGAAAACAAAAAGGAAAACTAAGTAGTAATTTGAGAAAAGAGATATAAATATTAAGAAAGAAATAATTGCAATTATGAAAATATGGATAATTGAAATTCAAGCAAAACAAAATGAAGAAAATATAACAGAAACAATGAAATGTAAATGAAAGGCAAATTGAAAGAACGAGATGAAAAGAGAATCGAAAAGAAAGAAAGAATAAAAGAAATAATAACAAACAAAACTAATAAAAAAAGAAAAAGGAAGGAAAAAAGAAAGAAAGAAATATCGAATGAGAAAAAGAAGAAAAAGATATTAATATTAAGGAAAAATAATTGAAATTCAAGCAAGAAATGAAAGCAAATATAACAGAATGAATGAAATATAAATGAAAAGCAAATGAGAAAGAAAAGAGACGATGATAAAATGATGGAATATACGAAAAGAAGACGCGGGAATAAAGAATGAATGAAAGAAAGAAAGTAAAAAGAAAAAAGCGAGAAGAAAAAAGAACGAACGAACAAAAATAAAAAAATAATAAAAGAAAGAAAAAAGAAAGGAAAAAAGAAAAAAGGGAGAAAGAAAGATCGAATGAGAAAAAGAAGAAAAAAGAGTAAAAGGAATAAAGAACAATCAAATGAAAGTTACCAAGCGAGAAAGACAAACGTTGGCAAACTTTGAAATGAAACAAAACAAAATGGCCGACATATTTCCTGATGCCAATTACAGTCCCCGTTCCCTGTAATTCTCATTATGCATCTGCTTAAATCTCGTAGCCCCGAGAATCTCTTTATATTGTTATCTAATGTACCCTTCGGCTGCTATTAACCAAAACCTTTGTAACTGAGAATGTAACAACTATTACTGATACAACAGCAGTAATTACAGTTGCAATTGATACGACCGCCATTCGAACCACGGCAATCACTTCTAAATTTAGCATCATTGTTTAAACTAAGATTGAATTTCTAGCCGTGACGAAAATTGCCATCATTTCGACTTAACACTAGCACAAATGACATTCTGTAGCAAAAGCATTTCGGTTGAAAGTAACATTCCGAAATAGTCGTATTACTATCGAACCTAGGAAAAGACGGTTGTGACCTCGCTAAATCAGATGAAAAAATACAGGGAGAAGGAAAAAAAATCAGGTTTCAGATTTGTTAAAGCGTTCTTTTAAACTATCGCAATTTCCATATTTGGGGAGGATACATTGTTCGTAAAAAAAAGAAAAAAAAAAAGTTGTCTTTAAAAATTAACCAAGCAAACAATATTTGTTTTATTATAAATTAAATTTAAAAAAAAAAAGCTGGAATATGCGTGTGTGTAGGCGTGTGTAAATTTAAACGAGAAGATACATATGAATATGCCACAGCAAATATCACGCACGCTTTTCTCTCTCTCTCTCTCTCTCTCTCTATATATATATATATATATATATATATATATATATATATATATAAACGACATCCATTTATCTCTGGCCAAAATTCAGTGTTTTGGTGATGAAACGGGAGTGGCCTTTGCAGGGCGCAGGCATGGGCGATGGCATATGGAGGCCGTGCATTGCCCCGACTATATGGCGACCTTCTCGGCCGTACCGACAATATCCAAAGAAATTCAGGCTTAACATATTTCGAGCCCGTTTTTTTTTCTGCAGGAGTTGCGAGAAAATTGTCAGTGTAAAAAGCCAACTGCCTTCGGGAATTCCCACCGGGTTTTCTGTTTTGGTTTACTTACATACACTTTTCCGTATTTTGAATATGATCACAGGGCAGCGGAGGCTTAAAATCAGTGTTTTTCTTCACCTAGATGGACTGCCTTCCTAGGTAGGTGAGCTCTGTCTACCCAAATCAGCTGATTACAAAGCTCCAGGCTTCCGCCTTCGCCCATTCTGTGGCTTGGAACTGGATTCAGTTGTCAGATCCTATTCTAGACGCATGCCACACAAGCTGTTTATAGACAGTAGAAGCTTGACCTCATTATCAACCCCGGTATGATAACCGTAGTAGCATATATAATGTACGTATATAAACATTATATAAAATACATGTTTTCGCACACACACACACGCACACACACACACACATACATATATATATATATATATATATATATATATATATGTATATATATATACGCAAAGCTCTTCGGTAAAATGAATATGGCTCTGTCTGACTGGCACTTGTTTACATTCACTTACTAGAATTAGCAGTTTCTCTCTGCCGAGTGCTGATGGCTTAGGGGTAGAAACTCCGACTGACATCAAATCGGTCGGGTTTCGTTTCTGACTTGAGGCTTTCGGACCTCTAGTTACACTGAGGAGCTGTAATACAGCGAAACACTACTGTCTGTCTGTCTGCCTCTCTCTCTCTCTCTCATATCTATCTATCTATATATATATGTGTGTGTGTATGTTAAGACATGTTTCATTGAATAATTTAGACAAGTTTTGTCTACTTATCTTCCATAGGATCATCTCATATTCACTACCTAGTATTCCTTAAAGGAAGAGATGAAATGACCATGCTGATACATATTTATTTATTCTGAGTACTTTCGATATTAACACAATGTCATCATCAGGATGTTGTTTTTCTAAGACAAAATTGTCTTGTTCATATGAAAGTTAATGTTTTAACTGTGAAGTAAAAAGCGCTAAGGTTATGCAAAAGTTAGGGGAGGTAACTAAGTTTTGAAATATCAATATGGTTCTTTTAAAAATGTCGAAAGTACTTCGAATAAATGAATATATATCAACATAGTAATTGTTTCTTTTCTTTTAATAAAGATACTAAGAAGCTTGTCTGTGAATATTAGAGGATCCTACTGAAAATAAGTTGACAAAACTTGTCTAAATTTTTCATTAGGACATGTCTTAATGAAAAGATCATGCCAATATTTATACATACATACATATATACATACATACATACATATATATATATATATATATATATATATATATATATATATATATATATTGCATATATTTTGACAATATATGTAATTTTTTATATATATATATATATATATATATATATATATATATATATATAGGAACATTGAAGTCAACACTCAGATGTGACAGGCTGTTTTCATGCTAGACGCAATTGTCAGGGCCTTACGATTGCGACTAGCATGAAAACAGCCTGTCGCCTCTGAGTGTTGACTTTAATGTTCATTTCTTATATTTATATTTAGATACGCTTTATCACTGATATTGAGCACTTTGTCCCATAAATATAGCACGCCTTAAAACTATATATATATATATATATATATATATAAATTAACACTAAATTGTGACTGTGTTATACGCTCATCAGAAAATATAGCCTAATGATAGCTCCAGGCGTGAAACCGACAGTCACCATGTAGTATTCAATTCCATGTCCACTCGATCTACAAACGCTCTCTCAGCAATATGGAGTAGTCTTTTCCAATAAATAAAACAGATTTTAAACAATATTTTGCTCGCTACACCAGCAAAATTCAGATACTGTTATGACATTTTCAACCTGACTAGAACACACCACAGGAAGTTATAATTTTGATTAGATGAGTCATTGGTGAAGGAAAAGATAGGGTGTGCCGGATTCTCAAGTATAAACTGGATTATTTTGGTTGTTTCACACTAAGGATGGTCAAGACTGGTGGCTTAGGCCTCCGTAAGTCGATAACATTCGAGTCGTTTCCGGTGACACTTTCTTTTATTGATTGAATGACCAATTGATGAGTTTTATATTGATTGATGGACCGATTGATGTGTTTTTTACGGCTTATCAACCATTTGCAGGTTATTTAAAGCTAGAAAATATAGTATTTACATCATTTACATTGTCCGGACAATTGTCTTCATCCTTATTATCATGTTCTCCAAGTTTCGGTCGTTGTACGCTCCGACCTTCTTAAGCTGATTGGAATTTCGAACTGAACCCTTTATTTCGTCCACCGGGGTAGATTGTTCAACTTCCACGTGCCATGCATCTTTCCGATGTCTTAAGTTATCTCCCTTTAAATTAACGCTCCATTTTTTTTTTTATTATTTTGTTATTTTTTTTTTTTTTTTGCTCTACGTTGCCGTAGCCAGGTATTGAACTCACAACTCTTTGGGTCAAGTCACTAGATTCAACCAACGCTTTTATCCACTGGTCCATGTTTCCTAGCAGATTTGATTTAAAGGGAAATAACTGATACATCCGGATGTGTCATAGTACGTGGTAACTGGAACAATCTACCGCAATGGGCAAAATAAAGGGTTCAGTTTGAAAATGCCAATCACCTGAAGAAGGCGGGAGCGTACAACGGCCGAAACGTCGTGAACATGACAATAAAGATGAAGACAACAGTCCAAACAATGTGAATAATCTAAATAATTACAATACCTCATCTAAAAAATATTTTTTGGTTTTGTTTGTTTTACGGCATATCAACATCAATGGGTTATTTAATGCCGACAATATCTATTTTGCTGGTCATATTTTGTTTTTGTGAAAAATCTATTTCTGTTAATATTTTTCCTTCAAAATACAATGACCATAAAAGTATTTAGAGAAAAGGTATAGGGAAGCTACGTGACTACGGTAGGAAAGTGACTGAAGCCGAGATGCCAAATCAGGACCAATAATACTGCAGATTCTTCAAAACAAATTCAGAAACATTTTTTTTTTAAATAAATAATTTCCCTCCAAGCAAGACTATAATGCTACAAAGAATTCGTTAACTTGGAACTTGGAATGGCCGGTTCATCTCTCCTCTAAATCCACAAATTATACAAACGTTTGTTTAACAAGTCAAATGCAAATTATTAACGAATGAAAATCAAATAATAGGAAAGTAAAAATTCCAGAAGATTTTTTTTTTCTTTTTCCCCATATCTCATTCATTAATAAAAGGGAAATATGTTAGATTGATAAAGGAATAAGTTAAGAAAGAATCTATTGGATTTAAATCCGACAGATTTTGAAATGTATTTGTTTAAACGTTAGTTTTTTAAATTTGAGTGGATGCACTGTTTTAGAATTATTTATTAAATCAACTCGCCTACGTAGAATCTTCTGATCAAACAAAGCCTGAATAGTGCTTTTTGAAATCACATCGGATTTAGATTGATTACCTAAAAAAAGTGTCTTTGTTTACGTTAGGATACAAAACAGAGCAGTATATTTCGCGAATCGGAAAGAAGATGAGTGTTTAAAAGCACTATTCTGGCTTTGCTACTTGAGGGGTTACTGCTTGGCCGAGTTGGGCTAAGCTACGGCAAATCTAATGACTGTTTCCTCTAAGGGACGCAGGTTCGAATCCTGCCGAAGGACGCGTGTTTTTCTAACATATCTCGAATATACAGGCCGGTAGACATAAATATAAAGTTTGAATAAAAAATAGAGAATCTTCTCAAATATGAGTATAATTTCAAAAATAAAATTTAATCAAATAAATTTATATATATATATACACACACAGACGATTGCGTCTAGCATGAAACAGCCTCTGAGTGTTCACTTTTATATTTGCATACGCCTTATCTTTGATATTAAGCACTTTATTCCATAAATATATCACACTTTAAAACTATATTTCTTCCTAGAGAGGAAAAAAAATATATATATATAACGTTTTCGGTTGCAATGGGGATTTTTTTTGTGTGTGTATGTCATACACACATACCCCCA